TATATATATATATATATATATATATATATATATATATATATATTATATATATATATATATATATACATATATATATATATATATATATATATATATATAATATATATATATATATATATATATATATATATATATAAATATATATATATATATATATGTATATATATATATATATATATATATATATATATATATATATATGTATATAATATATATATATATATTATATATATATATATATATATATATATAGTATATATATATATAATATATATATATATATATATATATATATATATATATATATATATATATATATATATATATATATAGAGAGAGAGAGAGAGAGAGAGAGAGAGAGAGAGAGAGAGAGAGAGAGAGAGAGAGAGATATATATATTATATATATATATATATATATATATATATATATTATATTATATGTGTGTGTGTGTGTGTGTGTGTGTGTGTGTGTGAGTGTGTGAGTGTGTGTGTGTGTGTGTGTGTGTGTGTGTGTGTGTGTGTGTGTGTGTGTGTGTGTGTGTGTGTGTGTGTGTGTGTGTGTGTGTGTGTGTATTACAGTCTAACCTGTCTATAGCGGACTTTCAAGGAAGTGGCTAAATGTGACCACTATGGCCAGTTGGCCACTATAGAGAAAAGGCTGTTTATTTTATTATTACTATTACTACTACTATTAGTACTAATACCATCACTGCTACCATTGCTATCTTCATTAGCACTGCTATCATTGTTATTCTATTATCACAATGATTATTATCCTTAATATCATCGTTGTTACTTTCATTATTGTAATAGTAATTGTTATCGCTATTATCATTATTATTAATAAATATATTTATAATTTGATTACGACTATGACTGATTACAATCATAACTATAGTTACAATCATAATCATAAAATATCATTATCATTAAAGTAATTATTTTCACAAGCAGTATCAACAGGAACAATAATAATAATGGTATGATAAAAGTAAAAATAGTATTAGTAATTAAATAATAATGAAACAATGCTGAAATAATAACAAAAATATAGTAATCGAATTATGATAACAACAACAATCGTAAAATAACAATGTTTATTATTATTAACGATATCACATAGTCATTATAATCATTATCATTATAAGAGTGATGGTAAAACTTATAATGATGATGATATCTATAAAAATGACTACAAGGACAAGGATAAGGATAATACCGATGACAAAGGCAATAATATAGTAATAATTGTAACAACAATGGTACTAACAAATAAAATTGTGTTAACCATCACTAACACATCATTACTATTATCATTATTATAATTATGATCCTTATTGTAATCTTTATCAATATTATTTTCATCATTATCATTACTTTTATCAATATTTTCATCATTATTTTGGTATAACTAATTCAGATATCATTATCAATATTAACTTTATTATTACCATTGATATTTTATCAATATTATTATTATCATTATCTCCTTCACCATTATGAACATTTCTATTCTGATAATTGTCATTATTGCTATAATTAATATGCTTCTTAGTTATTACCACTACCATTCATATCATAATCATCTTTTAAGGCTTAAAGTCAGTCCCACAAGCTGGACATTTAACAATATATCAAGAGCAGAAAGAGCTGACCCTCGAGTTGGTACAGCAGGGCGACCGGTGACCTTCTGCCTCTAATGCGATCCCAGGTGCTGATGTTGGTGCTTACTCATAGATAATTGAGCACTGAAATTGACATTTTTATTTTGCCTACATTTTTTTACATAAGCACTTACATCTGTAGCTTGAGAAGGATCTTTAATGATTATGCATTATTCTGTAGGAGCTTTCTGAGACATTAAAACGCTTACAAAATAATACAATTACAAAATGTCAACTAATTCAATTGTAATAAGGTTAACATTCGATCATCTTATGAACTCAGCAGCAAAAACTATATATTATAGAATATTTGACAACTAAGAAGTGCTTTTACCTTTTTTTTCATATTTTGATCCTTACAACTTTCTATTAAGTCTGTGACTGAGAGGGGCACGCGAATGGTATTTTGAGGGTACGGGTATTCTTTGTCGGGTATCTTCTATTTCTTTTTTGTTTTGTTTTGTTTTTTTTTGTATACAACTAATCCATTTGGACTTGCGAAAATATAATTTGGACATTAAAATAAACAAGTAGATTTAGTATATTTCATTTATATGAAGATCCATCCGTCTGCTCCCTCTTTCGGAGGCCAGCGCTTCTCACGCTCTCCAATGGCCGCAGAGCTTCTTTGCTGGCGGCTCCCGAGATAGTATGACAAGGGGTCAGGTTGGAATAGAAAAAATCAATATCATCGATGATTTGGTTGAACAACTTTGATACTTTACACTTCAAAAATATGTTCATACACGTGTTTTCTTCTAGTGACATCTAGTGAGTGTTCAAATAAACTATTTCAGAGAATCATCTGAGATCTCTTTAGATAGTTTGCTTAATTGGTTTTATTAGGGAAAGGGGAAGGAAACTTCTCCATCAGATGGTCCTCCTTTCCACCCACGCAGGTAACAATGCGGGTATTAATTATGAACTTTAAAACCACAAGGATTTATTTTATTTATTTATTTATTTTTGTCTTTAGATACCATATCGGAATTATTTAAAGACAGTCAAGGTAATGCACTGGAAGTGCAATAATAGGATTAATTTAATATGCAAAAGAGAAATTCCTTGGAATTTAGAAGGGGTGGGGGTGATGATGGTTTTATTGACCAGGGCATGGACGTCGCTTCATAGTACCACAGTTCCCCCCTTAGACCGATCTAGTCGAGCTGGATTTGGTATTTCTTCAACACACTTCGAAATACTAGGGATCAGGTTTACTATATACAGATGGATCGAAATCTGAAAATGTTGTGGGCTTTATAAGAGTGAGCAGAAGAAAGACTACAGTTGGCAGTCTTCCTTCGGCAGCCTCGATCTCCACTGCAGTTACATGCCATCCCTGCGGCAGTCGAAGTGACTAGAAATCTTAGGAAGCATTCTATGGTAATGTATTACGACTCCCTTAATGCTTTGCAAGCAATCAAAAGTCTTATCGTATCCATTGGCAAGGGAGGTTCAGGCTTGGCTTGCACTGATGTCAGCACGTAAGATAATAACCGTCTTGGGTGCCAGCACATGGTGTCAGTGGGAAGGAACAAGGTAATCGGAGGGCCAAGACAGCTGCCGCTCAGCTCTGTGATGTTCGTGTTTTTTTTTTCTCCCACACACTGACTTGAAACCCTCCATCAATTGTCTTCGCAATTAATGGTGGGAGGAATGGAGGCATACGCCTAGAAATAAAGTTCGAGAGATGAGGAACTGTATTCATGTTGACAAATGTGGAAAGGTATGAATGAGAACGAATATTTTCCCAATACAAGAGATTTATTTTACCGGTTTCGATTATATCTTCGTCAGAAATATCTTCTGACGAAGATATAATCGAAACCGGTTAAATACATCTCTTGTATTGGGAAAATATTCGTTCTCGTTCATACCTTTCCACATTCGAGGGATGACTATGGCAGTTCGGTGACCAGCGTCAATCCCAACTGATAAGTTGAAGTTGTGTTAAGAAGGCCGATAATTGGGCACACAAGCTTGACCGATGATGACTGGTGATGATGACTTAGAGTGAAACACGTATTGAGAGATGCCAATATTTATGTTTGGATTTTTGATATATTTATTGTTATTTTCATTTATGAGAGACATCAATTGAGAGATTTTTAAAATTTTGAAAATATTAACATTTTAATCACACAAGGTATTCGCCACCAATGACTGTAGCTGTTGACGCGGCAGATAATTTTAAATAAATAATCGTCCTCTTCATAATATTTTTGGCAATGTTAATAAAAACTGCCCTGCTGAAACATTTTGCCCTGCCATTTATTATACTAAATGAAATTCCTAATTGTCCATGACTATGACTAATGGAGTTGTGTTTATTATTATCATTGTTTTATATATAAATGATTACAAGAAAATATGTCCCTGACTAAGGGTAGACTTGTCCACTGAATTCAGCAAATCTAGTACTGTTACTTTCAGGCACCATAGGGAGTTATGTTCACTTCAATCAATGTTATTACACAATCACATCACGTAATAAGAATTCATAAATTTATATTAGCGAAACATAATGGGAAAAATAAAAAAAATATCAATTGTCTTGTAGAAAATGAAATGGCAGGGAGTGACTACCTTAATCGCATCTCGCTCTCAATTTGTGATTATTACCTCTGCCAGGAAGGTTATCTTTTTGGTAGCATTTCTATGGTGGTTAGTTGGTTAGCAGGATAACTCAAGGGGTTATGAACATATTTTTATGAAATGTTTACCAGAGGTGTGTCTTAGCCCACTTTAGATTACATTAAATTTGGTAGAGATCTGGATCATGATCCGGATCCAGAATGGTGAGCAGGGTAACTCAAGAAGTCATGAATAGAATTTCATGATTTTTTTTTTTCTTATACCAAAGATGTGACTTAGCTCAACTTTGATGCCATTAAATTTTGTGATGATTCGGATCATAATCTGGATCAAGGATTTTCTTTAAAGATTCATTAGCATTGTGAGATAGAAAACAAGAACATTAGCAGTGTACTTGAAGAGATGATTTTCATGTAATTCTTATTTCCTTGTATGCGTTTTCAGAGTGCTTCTAGTTATTATTTATTTTTTAGGCATGTAAGTAATAGAAGGAGAGGATAGAGGTAGTTATGGGAATTAATCATGTTAAAAAGAGAATATATTCCTTAAACTTTGTTACATCTGTGAATGCAATATGGCACCTGTTTATACTTTTATGATTATAGGCTAAAAAGATTGAACTAAACTATAAAGCGAAAGAGCAGTACGCAGGATAAGGCCTTATTACCCGCGAAGTCAGGTTACCCTCATAAAGCCTTATCAAACAAAATAAACTTGAGCGTTCTCTTGGGATTTCCTT